CTACTTGCCACTAGTTGAGCTGCAGCCAAGTCCGACGGAGGGAGGGGGGGGGGCGAAGCGCCGAAGAACGTAAACAGCCGAGCGCCCACCACAAGGCCAGGGGCTGGTGGAGGGGTGAACGTAAACAACCGAGCGCCCACCACAAGGCCAGGGGCTGGTGGAGGGGTGGGCTGGAGGCACGACTAGGGTGGAGTAGAGTTTAGAGTCTGGGGAGGACCACGCCGACGTCATTCACAAGTCGAGAGCTGCCTGTTACGGTTCGTGAAGGGATAGTTGTGATAGTGCGCGTGCCCGCCCGCCGGACTGGTGCCGTGTGCGTGTGTTTGGGCGTTTACTTCAGTACAAGCTGCTGATACTGCATCATCTGGCCGAACCAGGTTAGAATTTATTATTTGGGTGAGGTAGGCGTATCAGTTACGCGGCCCGATCCGCGGAGCCGAGGCATGGGGCCTTCGCAGCCCGGACTCTTCCGGCTAGCAGAAATCTTGTATCGGCGCCACGGCCCACCACCCCTACGGGTTTCTTCCGCATCCGGTACCAGAAGGGGCCTGCTAGGAAGTGCCTGCAACGGCGAGCTTCTATTTTGGCATGCTTATCATGAACAGTGTAGTCCACATGAATGTACCGCATGCAGGCGTTCGGGCGGGCTTGCCTACCCCGGCTCGGCGAGTTACCGCGGTATACACCTTCCAAAGCGAGGAAAGTTTCAATAGTAACCTTAAATTTAGTGGACTTGTGAATGGAAGTGTGTAGATCACGAATCCGTCGAGTCCCACCTTGGGACTGGTGGTGGAAACCCGATATTGAACACGAAGGGGCGTAAGTGCAACATTGTACGAAATCGATGATATCAACTGTCTTGTTCAACCTAGGAAGCTGCAAATAGCATCAAAATGACCGGGAAGAACTGAGGAACAAATCTATACCCCTATTGTAGAAAGAAATGACCCACATTCAGCCTAAAATGAAAAATATTTGAGAAAAATGTAAGTACCGGTATCGTGCCTTAGCGCTCCTCAGGTCGTAGCAAATATGGCAGAGGAGTAACGTAAAAGTTGTTCATTGCAAAGGTGAGCGCCCATTCGTCACCTTGATGTCGATGTTTTTACTTCACGGGGGACTTGGGCCATTGCAGAGTTATGAACCCTAAAGTAGGACGCTGCTTGAGCATGTCCCTCTGAGCGCGCTCCCGCCTCCACTCCGGCCCGCCGCCCGCCTCCACCGCGCTGCGCTCTGTCTCTCTCCCCCCCTGCTCGCAGCGGGTGAGACAAGGATAGCGCACAGACCGCTCGGCCGGCCCGCCCGCTAAGAGCGACATTTATAATGTTAAATATTTAACGTTTAGAAAGCAGCAAATGAAATAATTTTTAGTGGAATGTGTGCGTCTTGGATCGTACTACAACATACCTGAAATTCAAAATTAGATGTGGCAGTTAAGGGCAGGCCGGCGCAGAAAACCGGTCCTGTGTCCATGTTACTTTTAACGGCTGTCGTGGGTGAACGGTTTGACAATTGCTTTGTCTGACAAGTACGTTTTAACCAATACACCGCATATTTTCCAACACTGCATGCAAAGGTGCAGTTAAATATAATTCTCGCCCCCAAAATGTACCGTAGGTGCGAACGTAAGATTTCATGAAACATTTCAACTGCGTTGTAGCCCCGCCATGCAAGATAGGCGAGACGCCCGAAAAAACAGTCAAAGGGCAAAATAAAGAGACGAATCTTCTTTGTCATGTCCAAGTTGTTTGAGTGCTGGGACTCAAGAAGCTATACGATGACGTCAAGGCCCCAGGTAGGGGTGCGCGGCGGGGTTTGAACGTCCTTTTTGTCGCAAGTTCTCCGCGTACTCCGACTGTACTCCGGTGTACTCCGGGTGTACTCCGGGTGTACTCCAGGTGTACTCTGCGCGCTCCGTACTCCTGTGATGATCAAAAAGTTTCGTGTCTGTGTGTCTGTCTGTCTGTCTGTCATCACGATAACTCAAGAATCGTTTGATCTAGGTACCTGTAAATTTTATGGAAGCTTTGTATTCTTAGTATTCTTTCAAACTTTTCATCCATAATACCCAACTTTTACAAAATTCCGAATTGAAATTTAAGGATGCAATTTAATTTATGTTCATTCAAGATTGTTTTAGTGCGCTTGCCCGGCTGCGATGGCGCACGCAAGACGGGCCAGCGCCCCTCCCCCCCTTCCCCAACCCGACGGCGGGGGAGTAGACGTGACGTCATCGTGAGATAACCGGGACCATAGAGACCAGAGCCGAGGTGACATCCAGTGATTCAGTGATTATTGTTTAAATTTGTTTAAAAGTAACATAGACACAGGACCGGTTTTCTGCGCCGGTCTGCCCTTAACTGCCACATCTAATTTTGAATTTCAGGTATGTTGTAGTACGATCCAAGACGCACACATTCCACTAAAAATTCTTTCATTTGCTGCTTTCTAAACGTTAAATATTAAGCCCTTTGAGTGCACTGTGTGCCACAAGAAATTTGCCAGAACAGTGCGTTTCCGTGCTCATCTCCTAACGCACACAGGAGAAAAACCATATGAGTGTATTGTGTGTAGCAAGAAGTTTGCGCAAAGTTCCGGACTGCATTACCATGTTCAAACGCACACTGGAGAGAAGCCCTTTGAGTGCACTGTGTGCCACAAGATGTTTTCTCATCGTCAAATTTTGCGTAGTCATGCCAAAACACACATGGATTAGCATATCAGATGCCCTCTGCCTAATATATTGTATATTTATCTTAAAGTCCCATTAGGGTAGTACCCTCTTGTGTTTTGTGAGTGCCAGAAGTGTGTTTAGGTTATTTTTTTGTTTCTACGTATCCATACCGTTTAGCCATTTTATGTGGCGTTTATTACGTTTTATTCAGTAAGCATCTCTGACGTGCCTCCGTCGCTTCATTGCAAATAGACGTGTGTTGCTTTGACCATTCTGTAAAATTTCCCTGTTCCATTATTAAGTTGTTGAAGTGTGTAATATTGTTTTTATTTAGCTTTTAATGTTGCTTTTCATGTGTTTTTAATT